TATGTAGTTTAGGCTGGCCTTGTACTTACTGTGTAGCCCAGGTTGGCCTGGAATTCATTGCAATCATCCTGCCTCAGTCTCCTGAGTGCTGGGGAGATGGGTATGTGCCATCACACCTGGTTAAGACACTGAAAATAATGAGAGGACAAGCCAGAGACTGGAAGAAGGCATTTGCAAAACACAAGTCTGATAAAGGAATTATAGCCAAAACTGACAAAGAACACTTAAATTCAATAATGAAGATATAACCCAATTTTTAAAATGAGCAAAAGACTCTCACCGGATAAGACATTCAAATGGCAAAGAAGCATATGGTAAGATGGTTAACATTGTATGTCATGAGAGAATTGCAAATGAAAACAATAAGATATTACACATAGCACACTTATTAGAATGACAAAAGTCCAAAATACTGATAATGCCAGATGCTGGATAGGAGGACTTCTGAGGGGAGCTCAGAATGGCATAGCCACTTTTGAGGATGATTTGGAAATTTTCTAAAACATTGTCCACATTTGTCAGCAATGCAACGGTCTCACTCCTAAGCATTTACCCCACTGACGTCCACATAAACCTGCACATGCTCATTCACATCAGCTTTAATAGTAATCTTCCCATTTGGAAGCAACTGGAAGGGTGAGTAGGTAAACAAACCATGGCGCCCCCTAGACAATATAATTAATGATAGTTAGCAATATAAAGATGTGAACCATCAAACCATGTAAAGACCTGGAGGAACTTGAACTCGTATTGGTAAGTGAAGAAGGCAGTGTGAGAAGGCAGCATATTTTGTAATCAAAGTGAATTAAAATTTTAGAAAAAGCAAAACTTTAGAGACAGGAAAAAGATGCGTAATTGCCAGGGTTTCAGGAAGGGAGGAAAGCATGAATAGTGTAAGGGTCCCAAAACCTACAATAAAGTTAGAGAATCCTTGAAATTACTTTTTGGGTGGTAGTAATTTTTTGTAGGATGCTGTAGGTGTGTGACATTAGGCAATTGTCAAAATCCATAGCACTGTACAATGCAAAGATTGAACCCTAATGTGAACTATGGCCTTTCATTAATAATGTATAAGCATTGGTTCCTTAGTTGTGATATATGAATAGGTGAAATCCTGTGTAAGGGTGGAGATGATATATAGTAACTGTAATATTTTGCTTAATTTTTCTGTATATGTAAAACTGTTCTAAAATAGTCTATTGATTCAATAAAAATTGCAGAATAAAGTGAAAAAATGAGAGAGGAGGTGAAACTAATGACTATAAATTATTTCTGCCTCCCATTGAGAAGAAAGATAAATATGGCAGGGTGCAGATAGCTGGAAGGAGTTCTGTGGTCTATCAAAAGTTTTTGCTATGTTCTTGTGATTTTTAATCTCTCTCCTAAGACTTCTCTACTGCCTTTTGTCTGCTAACCCTGTCTCATTCTCAGACATTAAGCAACTATTTCAGTCTGAATCAGACTGACTTTCATCTAACATACAATCATACCTTATTCCATCTCCCAGCTCAATCTAGACCTGCTCATTTTTATGCAAGCCAAGGGAAAGAAGAGTGTGATCAGCTTTTCCAACTTCTTGTATTACTTCTTTTCCCTGATTCATCTTACAGTTTCTAGCTCTTCTATAAGTGGGGCTAAGAGTGGAGAAAAGCTGTGATATTAAAGAGTTAAAGTAAGAATCCAGCATTGAGCTTATACTCCCTGAAGTGCTTGACAAATGTCAAGTTGTTTCAAGGGTTCTGTAACCTTAATGTAGTTGGAATACAGCACAGGGCAGACTAGTATATTTTTCCTATTCTGTAAGTATCAGTGAAGGATGTGGGTAGGGCACTAGTGAGGTGTTGTTTTGTGCTGGTGGCTTACAATCCTGTTCTCCATAAACACATCTCTATGAGTCCCCCTACTTTGGTTTGCGGTAGGGAAAATTGATTTAGTGGCAACTGCTCAAAAATTTCCCCTTATGTCGTACTCTGTTCTCCATCACATCTTTTCTTCCAGTAATACCTCCCTATTCTTTCTAAATCTAATTTAATTTAGCCTTTTCACTTCTCCAATTGTTTGCTCAAATATTATCCTCATCAGATGGACAAAAGTCTTGGTAGTTGCGCAAGTACACACAGAAACGTGTATGAGAAAAGTGTGAATGTGCAAAGAGAAATTATGAAAGCTAAGACATTAGTTTCACTTCCAACATCTTGATAAATATAATTAATTTTGTGTTTCTTCTTTTTCTTTTTAGCCAAGACTGATAAAACCAAGCCACTTCATGTAAGGCTTACCGATACTGAAGATGGAACCTCTTCAATTAAAAGAGATGAAACCAGTACTGACATTGTTTCAAGAACCCAACCACAAGCACTTGTGCATATCCAAAATATCTTTCTTGATTATCCCGAACCAGAAAAAGTGACTCCTATTTCACTTGTCTACAAATCTACTAAAAATGCCTCTTCATGCATTCCAGATACTGTTACTGCTCCTATGTTTTTTCCAAGTCATCTTTCTGCACGTACTCAAATTTTTAGGAAAGAAACACAGCAGATGAAAAGTTCAAGAAAGTCCCCTACAGCACCTCGCAAAATAGAAAATGTTTTTTTTGATGAAACATTACAAAACATTTTAATTCTTTCTTCAACATGCTCCAAATCTGTAAATGTTCCTTGCCAAATTATTGAGACTAATTTCAAAACTGTGAGTCCTGAGCATCAACTCTTACCAAAGACTCAAGACTATCGTGATATATCCCCGCTGAGAACTATGACATTGCCAACCCCTCTACCCAGCACTTCATCCATCAAAGGAGAAAGTCAGGGGCCTGCACATTTCCCACAAGGTGTTGAAGTCCTTGGTAAAGTGATATTAAACATTAATCAATTTCCAGCTACCATTTCCTTTCCAAAACCAACTTTACCAAGAAAACCTCGAAGACAGTCTATAATAGGTAAATATAATCAATTCGTGGTTGGTAATAAAAGGGCCAGTTATAGCAAAAAGGGGAGAAGAAATGCAAGCAAGTGATGCCCTTCCTCTGGGTTTTCATGGTGGAAAGACAGAATTTTAGCTTACACTGAATCCCTGGTTAGAGGGCAATAACAAGAATCCTAACCTCAGAATGGATTTTTCATCCAGATGGTAGTTATGAGAGCCAACAAGAAAATTCAAAGCCTCAGGAAAACTAGTATGAATTAGCCTGGATGCATTTCCCTAAATAACCCTAATTCATTAAGCAATGAACAATTATAATGATGTCATAGCCCTCTCAAGTAAATTTTCACAAGTATACAAAAGTTGATCCATTTTTTTTCCTTTTTCTCTAGAAACTCTTGCCACAGAAAATGAAAAGACAGAAAATATACCAAAACCACCTGAAGGTAAATGCTAGATTTATACCATGCTTTTAGAAACTATACATAATATTACCTCTCTATAAAAGTATTTATGATTTTGCGTGTGTATAGAATTCATGTTTATATCTCACCTCACTTTCAGTTCCTTAAGCCATTTACTCAGTTGTTATTTTAAAGTACTATGAACCAGATATTGTACTGATACTAGGAATATAAAAGTTCATCTATCTTAATATGTGTTAACTGCTTCCCACGTGCCAGACCCTGCCCTATGTACTTTGACCTTAGTTATTTAGCAGAAACAAATGAAAAATAAACTTTAAAAAAATATTACAGAGCCAGATATGGAGGTGCATGTCTGTAATTCCAGCCATCAGGAGCCGGAGGCAGGAAGATTATAAATTCAAGTCCTGCCTGGGCTACATAGCAAATTCAAGGCCCACCTAGAACATAGCAAGACTAAAGGAAGAAAAGAAGGAAAGAAGGAAAGAAGGAAAGAAGGAAAGAAAGAAAGAAAGAAAGAAAGAAAGAAAGAAAGAAAGAAAGAAAGAAAGAAAGAAAGAAAAGAAAAGAAAAGAAAGAGAGAGAGAGAAAAAGAAAATTATACTAGTATACTCACATTTATCCCTACCAACAATCTCACAAATACAGTGCGTGGCAAGTAATTTTACTTATCAGGAACATAAAGAGAAAGACAGAATGAATTAAAATTAGAAGAGACAGTAAATAACAGAAATATACCCAAGGCTAGTAGCATTGTCTGACACAGATTTTAAAATAAACTTTTAACCCCTGGTTCAATTCAGGATTAAGCTGATTTTCTTGAACTAACGTCCCTGCCAAAAGCAATATCATAGCTGCCAAAATATCCATAAAATAGCTCTTGAAGGCACTGGAAAATAAGTAATGGAGGCATGACTCCAGAGGCTACAAGCGCTGAGAGAATGGAGCTCATGAGTTAACCCAACCTTCACTTTGGCTCTGCCTGCAGCATGTGTCTTTTGGGAAAATACAGGAGGGAAGTAGGAGCTACAGGAGTGGTAATAGTGTCGAGTAGTGAAAGGAGACAGCAACTGGACTACTGAGATGCCAGGGAAGTTGGGACTTGAGGAACATAATCTCGGAGAGGAGAGAACTAAAGGGAAATGAATTAAAAATCATATCCACAAGCTCCCTTTAAAGGTGTTGTCTGATTTCTAAGCCATGTAACTATAGAAAAAGACTCTAAAAAACAGCATAGAACATCAGCTGAGAAGCTAAGAATCAACCATAGGTTTTTGCAGTTGCACAAGAGGCAGATAATGGAGTTCAAGCACTGTCAAAGCACAGAGAAGGGCCTGGGCATTTAGTTGAGGACCTAGAGAACCGATGCTTTAAGACTAAGAATGAGGTTGCAGAAGAAAGATAAAACTAAGACTAGTCCTAACAAAGCTCAATTCAAATCTCTGAGAGCTCAAAGCAATATTTTCTATCTAATTGAAAAAAAGCAAATAGTTGTTAGAGAATTATCCAGGCCCCTTAAAACCTTTCCTCCAAAAAGTCCAGTATTAAGAAATTACACAGCATCCTGAAAAAAAGATAGATAAAATGTCTGAAAGACATTAGAAAAAAGTAGGCAATAGATACAGCTCCCTGGGTGATTCAAACACTGGGACGTCAAATGGGGATGTTTACAAACATGAAGAGCAGGTTGGAGAATTTCACCAGAGATCTATAATTTTCTGTTTAAAAAATAAGTAAAATTCTTTTTTTTTCTTTTTTTAAATTTATTTTTAAAAGAAAAGAAGGAAAACATAATAACATACAGTCATCCATTTACAAAATAGCGTAAGAACGACACAAGCAATGCAGAGTTACAGACAAAGTGGTAGGAAGTGAACAATGGTTGTTGTATTACATATTGATATCTCAAAGTGGTTTCTCAGGAAAGCAAATACAGACATGCAAGATTGATCAAACAAGTCATCATTAACTGTTCCTTTCAGTAAATCAATAGAATTCAGTAGTACAACTATGTTAGCTAGCCTGTAGATACATACATACATAATTTCCTCTTCTTTCCCTTCTCTTTTCCACATCCCAGTAGCCCTTTACTTTTGAGCATTTTCCTTTCATTTCACAATGTCTATCATACCTCCTAGTTTGTTTGTTTGTTTGTTTGTTTGTTTGTCTTTTTTTTGAGACAGGGTCTTTCTATGCAGTTCAGGCTGGCCTAGTGCTCACTTTGTAGCCCAGGTTGGTCTCAAACTTTCAACAGTCCTCCTGTCTCAACCTCCCGATTGCTGGGATTACAGGCATGTGCCACCACACCCGGCCTACCTCCTAGTTTTTATTCACTCTTTCAGGTTCTTACACTAGTGAGACAATACAGTGCTTACACATGAAGGTCTGATTTATTTCACTTATGAGTATGGTCTCTAGTTGTGACCATTTACCTA